AATGCTGCAAACCAATCACCTATTACAAATATTAGTATGTTTTCAGAAGAGTTTACTATATGTTTATTTGAATTCTCAGAGTCATAGGGTAAATTAAAAAGGAACAAATTGCAATGCAACCTGACAAATAACTAAGTTACTCTGAGTGAGTACCCTGGCCCAATCCATTTCCTTTCTTCCCTAAATGAACTCACCCTTTTGTCACACACCAGCCTGCCTGGGGACCACTGGTTTTAGGAAAGGAATTAATCTCAGTAACAAGCTCTCACACTAATAATTTTTTTGCATACAATGGAATTCAGTCTCCCAGTGAGTTCCAATTTATATTTGATAAAGCAGGGCAAAAAGGTTTATGGAGAACAGATGACTTGCACAAGTCACTTTTACCCTGTTAGTAAGCAGCTAAACCCAGTATCCATTCCTGTTCTGCCTTTATATATGTTTACTCATAATTAGATACCGAATGCAAATCTAGTTTAACAAACTAAGAGTTTGGGGTTTTTTTGCAGGTTGTGAAAACTTAGATAAAGTCCAAATCTAAAATTTACAGTCTTTAAATAACTGAGAAATTAACTTCTGAGTAAGTTCTTTCATCTTTACAAGAGTAATAATTCTTTGTCAGGGTTTACAACAGAACCGCTGAAATTCTACAATTTTATAAAATGTTGGAGACACTTGATTATTTTTCGGTATTTTTTCCCCCAAGTCCCACAACTTTGCTTTAAACTTCTTCAGAACAAAGAGCAAGCCCTTTTCTCGGCAAGAACCATGAAGCAACAAAATCCCCCAACACATGGAAGTGCTGCAGTTAGTCTGAGGTTAGAAAGGAAATGCTGTCTAGCTGCATGCCTTCACTTAGCAGCGAACTCAGAGTTGCACCTACTCCTTTTACAGTAGATTCTTGTCACTCCTCATTATCACAGCTATTTTATTTTTTTTTTAAATAAAATTCCACTTTATTTCCTCATTCCCTGCTTACAAAAGCTCTTTCCTACCTGTATTCTCAGGAAAGACAGGTTCTATGCCAACCCCATGATCAGAAGGTGCAGCTATCTGGGCAGGATCTCTGAGGTAGATTCCACGGTTGCTGCCAACAGTAACTGTAAAGCCTATGTTACTTGTGAATGATGAATTCTGAATGAGGTAGTCATAGGCTTTATCAACCTGTTAGAAAGAACACATTCTTAATTAACAAATTTCAACTTCATAGTAATTTATGCGTATTAACTTCCATACAAAGTGTTCACCAGGTAACAGCAACAGTGAAGTAACTCATGTGCTACCTGAGCCACACTAAATGCACCTTAAAAATAGTCAGTACAAAAAGTGAGGCAAAACTTTCAGACTACAACAGCCACACAGAGCACAGAAATTCAGGAACGTTAAAAATCAGACAAGTCTCCTTTGCTACAAATCCATCAAAAGATATCTCTGAAAAACTTTTGTTACACAACTACAAAGACAAAGAGAACTTCAAAGGCACAGACCTACTATAATAATTCGGGTGCCTCTCTCATACCTGGAGCAATACTAGTATTTAAACCTTTTATACAACACAAGAAGCTGTACAGTTTGAGTCAAGCAAGAGACTTGCATGAGATACCAATGTAATTCTTATATATTTATATGAAATAAGAGAATCAGGTCATGAAATCTAGCCCTGGATTTAAGTAAATGAGCTGTTACAGTGAACTCAAATAACAAGTTCACTTTTCGATTTAAAAAGAAATCCTTCTGTCTCACTTCCTCTTCCACTGACTCCCCAAAATCTTACATTCTCTTCTACTTCACAGCAAGCTACCTTCACTAGCAGAATTTAGGGCACTCTCCTTCAAGACAAGTGAACATACAACAGCCTCAGTTTCCCAGACCAGAGTTTTAACCACATGTTTTAACAGATGCTGTAATCACAGACTACTGAATCTTAAGATGACTGGTGCATTTCATTTTTGTGGCAATGCTGGTATGGCCACCACCATTGTTGCCTTCTATATTGAACTCAGTGATGCACTTGTGCTTAGTGGATGTTACCTACTAGGCTCCAGCATCTCCAGAATGTGAGTTTATGACTATGCATTTAATATCTAGCATCTTTAGGCACGAGGGCAAAATCTCAGTACCTCTGTTTGGCTAGGATGCAAGTGACTGTAGTGAAATAACAGCATCAGCTCTTTAACAACTGCATCTTATGCACAGGGAGACTGCCATTCACTATGTCCTCATCATACAAAGGGCTGTATCATACAAAGTGAGTTTCCTTGCTACTTGGAAGTCACAGGATACACTGAACACTCAAACTTTTCAGTGCAGGCCCCAAGCCAAGTGACTGCACAACTGCAGCTGTACTGCTCTGTGAACCAGTGTGGGTGCTTCTGTATTTTCACTACCCAGACTTAACAGTTCCAGCTTTTGTCTGCACAGAACAAATCCAGCTCTCTGACAATAGCATAAACACACTTTTGGGCATTAGGACAGAATTCAGGCATTCAAATCCACATGTGGGTGATAAAATCCCACATCCCACTTCTGTGTCCACATACCTTTTTAATCAGTCTAAGAAAGTGTCTGAGTAACACACTTATTCTACAGTAAGTGCAGAAACTGGAAGAACATTCTCATTCCTTCCCCCCTCCCATGACATTCCCTTCCCTCTCTATCAGATGTGAGAATCAAGTTGTGTGGAAGCAAACTGAGTGAGCTCATCTGGAAGGCTCCTCTCTTTTTATGGGTTAGTTTTCCACTGGCAGTTATTTACATTACGATTGTTTTTTTTCTTTTTTCTGGCAGGTACCTGAATAATACCATGTCCTTGTGCAAAAACTTCTATGTTTTCAGCTTTCACTGCAGTGTTTTCTAAAGCTCTTCTGACAGAATGAACAGTGTAATGAATATCATTAGCTTTGAGTCCTGAAATTAAAAATAAGTGGTTTATTGGATGCAACAGAAAATTTGAGTTGCAGCATTAGTTTTTTTTCTAAGAAAAAGTATCTAATATCTTTTAGAATATCCATCTGTATTTAACATGGTAGCACATTACCTGACAATACTAATGCAATGCCTCCACATGCATTGGGAGAAGACATGGATGTGCCATTCATAAGCTGTGTTCCTCGCAGAGTCCAGTTTGGAACTGAAGCAATAGCACCTCCTGGAGCACTGATACTTACTCCAAGGGCTCCATCAGTGCTAGTGTTAAAACAGAGTGGTTGAAAAACAAACAATTTTTTCTGTACATTTTATCTTAATGTTAACTCTGCACTTAAAAAAAAAATTTAGCTTTATGGAACATTCACAAGTATATTATTACACTAAATCCATTAATCTATTAAAGCCAAGAAAAAGCATGCTGCTAAGTAGCAATTTAAAATGTCACATTAATAACCAATGATTCCTGTTTTGCAGTGAGTTTTCCAAGCTTTTACTTCTTCAATACACCAGGCTTCAGTTTAGTCAGCACAGTATCTTCTGGGATTTGAATTGGAAAATGCACACAAACCCATTATGACACTTCAATATGTATTCTACAAAACTTATTTAACAGTTATTTTAAAAGAAAAATAATAAAAGGGTGTCCTGTTTTGGGGTAGAACAGAGCTGATTCTGTTCAGTGATTTTACTTTTCAGCTAAAGCTCTTCTAATGAACTGCACTGTCTGAAGTTAGCAGCGTTCTCAGACTGGTTTTGGCAGTGATAACACTCCCTGTTTAGCGTTACTGCCAGGGACTGGTGTGCAGACCAAGGCCACTGCTAAAGCTTCTGTACCACATGGGGGGGGGGGCAGAAAGTAAAGCCACACCTTCAGGGAGGAGTGGACAAGAGAAGTGACCCTAAGAGTCACCATTGGAAGAGGAGTTAGGTTCAACATCAGTTTTATAAATATTTGTATATATTCCATTTTAT